TCTTGCAGCCCAAGGTCAAGGTTGAAGGGATGAGGGACACAAGGAGAGCACGTGAAGCAAGAAAGTCTGACGTTTGGCAGCAAGACATGACAGGAAGAGCAAGACATGACAGGAACAAAAACCTACCCCAGCTACACAGATGAGGATCATATAGAATCTATTTCTACACAAAAAAGTCAATAAATTGCTTGACTGAAAACAAATTTTTTTTAAAAGACTTGCCCTGATAGGAAATTGTGGGCATCAGGGAGACATATTTCTGGTTTTCTGTACTTAAGTAATATTCAGTGTCTAGATGAAAAAGTTCATTTTCGTAGCTTCTATTCTGATAAAACACTGTGTATAGCTCCAAAGCCCTATTTTGTCTATGTAATACATCAAAAAATACACATACACAAATTGAAATGCAAATATATACACACATACCTGAAGCACTGATAAGAGATATTTTTATTTTTCATTCACTTTGACATCACTGTGATATTTTTGTAAAAACTACTGATAAAAATCATGTTTGGCATGAAGAGTGTCATCCTTGCTGTGAATGACAATGAGAGGAAGTACCACGTATTAGGTTGTCTCTCTTTGCCTGTCACTGTATGATTTTAAGCATGGCAGACATGCATTGAACAGAAAGTAAATGAGATGCACAAGGGATTAAAACTTTTCAGGGATGTTAACAAAAAAATATTTCTGACAGTTCATGCAGTACTGCAAACTAAGAAAACCCCAAACAATCAATATCACAAAGTGAGAAAAATAGGTCTAAGGGGTTCTTATTATCCCCAAATGCTTTTCTCATTTTCCCACTATTGTCCCAAGTTATTAATTTAGAATAAAGAAGAAAAAGCTCACGAAAAAACACAACTTGCAGCCATTTTTAATGTATCTACTGGATTTACAGAGAACCAGCACTGACTGGATAAAAGCCTTTGGAAGATGGCACCTGCATAAACCTTCTGCCACTAATTTCTGAAAATATATCTAACACTCGCAGAAAGTATCCTCTTTTAAAAATTTCCGTTTTCTCTTCTTTTAAGGTTCATTTAATATAAAACCATAGATGTGTTTTTAGGCTGCAATAGTAATGGTTCAGAATGACAATTGATTTGGACGCTTGTGTACCAGCTGCACAGTACAAACATAGGATCCCTACATCTGCCCTGCTGAGGAAGGGTAAATGGACCCACATAAATCGGCTGTAGTTTCAGCTCTGGAAGCTGATGGAGTTTGGCAGTTCCCAGTGACACCTAGTCAAAGCGTTTGTTATGTCTGCAGAGGTAAGTCTGTGTTGTCCTAACACTGCTAAAGAGCTAAGGCACACTGCTCCTTTGAGAATAACCTTTTTTTCCTCACAGGGCTAGAAGAAGCTTAACACTATAGGGAAGCCAGAACAAAATTTTTTAAATATCATAAATCAGTACCTAATATCTGATAGACTTCACTCAGAGTCAAGCATTGTTAGAGTTGCACCTGCCTGCAAGTACTGCCAGTTAACATCCCTCTGAGATTCTGGAATACATAAAATACTACACTTAAGATTACACCACTCTTTCTTCAAAGCATGATTATTAAATACATGATCATATGCCTGAGGAAAATGTGAAATACAAAGATAGAATTGATGACTGCAAAAAATAGCTCAAAAAAGTAAGAAGTAAAATTAGATATACATAGATATAATATACAGTAAAGTATCACATAAATTAATATACTTATATATGCATTTATTTAAGGAAAGTGTTTTAAGAAGTTGGTTTACTGAGTATTTCTCAAAGTCAGTGCAAGGTTCCATTGGTACACCCTTCAGAAAACCTGGAAATTTTTATTTAAAGGATTACAAATTCTGAGGAACTAATCACAATTTTGAGTGATTCAGTGCATGGAGACCGTTATAGGCCTAAGAACAGAAATTACAAAATCAAATACATCTATAGTTGGAGGCTGTTGAGGCCAACCATGTGAAAATTTGAAGGAATGTCTCATTTATACACCTCACTGATGCCAGACAGCAATTTGCATCCTCAAGCTACTTCCTAGACCTAAAACTGTTAATGGAGGATCATCATATTGTGTTATTACAGAACCTGACTGCCAGCCAGGAGCTGGTACTTGCTCACATTTCCCTAGAAAGCAGGAGTTGTAGATTCAGTGCCTGACGGGGTTGTGTACTCATGTAGGTGGAGTTTTGGCTTTCAGCCCCTGCCCCCAGGGATTACTACTTCTGCCTTATATCAAATGGCTCTTGAAAACAGAAGCAGGTTCCTTCTGCAGCAATCAGAATCTAAGTTTCATTTCTTGTGACAACTCCCATTTCCCTGGTAAGCACCTATCAAAGGACAACACATGTATCCTTTCCTCCATCTCTCTGCAGCTCCCAGATTAATTGCATTAGCTTGCACAGATTTTCACCAGAATAGTATGTTAGGTATAGTTAACCAACATGATACTTAGGGGATCCTAAAATTCTCTTGGGATAAGTAATATCCATGAGATTCCATACACAGGATCTACAGATATCTAGTTTTTTAATTGCATTTAGAGCAAGACAGAAAGACTCAGTTCAGGTGAAGTGCCATAGGTCTGGGCATATATAGATTAAAACCTTCAGGAGTATTAGAAACTTCTAATAATTATTTAAATAATCCGGAAGTGAATCTTAGTCATCAGAAGCTGCTAAGCAAGTTCAGGATAGGTGAGGTAGATTTCTATCTAATTTCATTCTTGCTGTGTATGTCCTTCTTTGGACCTGGGTGTAGATGCCTAGGCTGCAAATAACTAAGCCTCAAAGCAGTGCATCATCTAAGTTGACTAACTGATATGAGAAAGAATTATTCTGTTCAAAGTTAAGTGTTTAATACACATTATCTATCAGGTTTTAAAAGAAGAGTTTCATACTTTTGCAATAATGTTATGTATTTAAAATATCACAATAGCAATAATATGCCATTTCAAAACCAAGATAACCATACTGACTTATGAACACAAATATTAATGTTCCACTGATTCTAAGTGTCTTTTGACATAATTTTAAAAATTGCCTACAGAATGTTCTTATGATGGGATTTTCACACTCTTTTCAGGCTTTGCAAAAACAGCTGTCAAGGAAACTGATTAGTTCCACAACTATAAGTGCAATAATGATTTATATAAAGGAGACCTCATGTTAAACAGTGTAACAGACTTCTTACAACTACTTAGAGGTTATAGGAGAGCACTGATAGGAAAAGGCCCCTAAATAGCTATAAAACTGTGTTCAGAGAAAAACCATCTATCTATATTCTAAACTAAATGAACTAAGCCGCTTTTTACTGGAATGTCCAGAGACCTCCTACGTTATCATTTATGGAAGCGTATTATGTTTCTCTCAGTTACAGCAGCTGTGGCACTACTCTGGAATACTTTAAACAATTATAACAGGTTAAAGTTAGATTGCATTGAAAAACAAGTAATATTTGTGTTTCAAATATATAAAATTAAAAAATGGCTTATTGCTTCCATTTACCTAAATAAGCTTTTATTTCTTTTTCTACTTGATAAATATTTTTATATCCTTGGGACAATAAGCTTTCCTACATTTCTTTTTCCCTTTTCTTTTTTGATCATGTAGTGAAATTTTATTTCTGAATGATGGCAATTCCAGAGCACTATGTTTAAAAACAAGTACACAGGGCCTACTGAGGCCCCGAATTTTGATCAAGATGCAAACCAACTCTCACTATTGCAATTCAAGTGCGTAAACCAAATATTTGTACTAGAACTGGATCTGAACCTATTTATGAATTACAAATGCACATTCCTTTCTATAAATGCAAGTAACAATGCCTCCACTATCAACAAATTGCTATGGAGTATTAAAAAACGTTGCAGAGATCTAGAGACATCTTCTCTGAAAATGTATTGGAAGAAAACTTTCAACAGACAGAAAATTTAAGTCAGTTATTTCAAACTTTTCCAATGACACACTAGTCCATGATTCATTTAATTGCCACTTTACTAATGCTAGTCAGACATTCAGATTAAAACACAAGTATTACATTTTAAGATACTGGCCATTATATTTATCTGTCATGATTTTAATTTAATTCTAATAATGTAATAGTTTAATATATGGCATACAGAAAATACTATGTTAGAGGATGTAGCACCTGATTTTAAAATGCTAGTGATGACTGATCCAATTTGGAATTTATTATTAAAGATATCACCTCACAATTTAGATAAAGAAGCTTGAAATCTTTTCCTCATATCACCTGCTTTACAAAAATTAAAATTACCCGTATTATATCAGAAATTTCCACTATATTTTAGGTTTATTCAGAATTAAATAATTTTGCAATGTTGCATCAAAAAATATCTTTACATTGGGAAGCATTAAAACTTGATAAATTAGCTACTGAAAAACACTCACTCTTAACTACTATGCTGTTTTCATTAAAAAAATTCCAAACCTTTGTATTTACAGACTTAAACATATAAACAGCATTTCTACAGATTTCAAAGCTTGTAAACAGGCCTTCTAGAAGGCTGTATGCTCACCATGTTAGGGTGAATCAGTAAGACGGTATCTAAACAATTTGAAGACTTAACCTAATCAGACACTAAAATAAGTACCTTTATTACATGTGTAGCTTGAAGCACCTGTAGAGATAGGACTGAAATCAAGAATTCTAACAACTAAGTTGCTTACAACAGACAAATAGGCAGCTTAAAAGTGTATAGCAGGTGTATCTTAAACACTGTATTTCTTGTTAATTGTTATCACAGTTGAAGATTCAATGTTTGTTCTGTACTTACAAATTACTTTATCACTAAGAGAAAAGTATGAAGCATGGTCCCATTTAAGGGTTTTGAATCCAAGTCTTTGCTGATAATAGAGTATGGGGACTTGGGCTTTGTCAGTTAAGGAAGACTTCAGTTACCTTATGTTCAACTACACACATTAGTGTACTATGAGTAGCAAAAAATTCAGAGATAAAACCACTCTAAAATTAGCTTACCTGTAATAATGTTGGGCTTTGGTGGCATGCTGAATTCATACAATGTTGGTTCAGAATAACCCAGTCTGTTGGCAGCTGTAATTTGTACTTCATAACCCATAGTCCACTGAAGGTGCTCTAAGATGATGTGGTCTCTACTGCCCTGCACTTTTTTCTCTAGCCACTGGTCTTCCTTATCTTTCTGTAAAGATGGGAATATTAGTTTAAATTGTCAAAAACCTCTTGCATTATTTGTCTAAACTGTATCTCTACATGATGCATGAAAAATATGGGGTTTCATTTAAAAAGGTTATGAACATTCAAATAACCTAATTCTGGAGTTCTGACTACTCAGGCTTTTTGTAATTTTGACCACTCCTAATCATATTTCCACAATGTGAATTTAGGGATATTGTAGGCAATCCCTTTTAACCTTTTGGCTTCAATTTATACTTTGTTCAAATACTGATGTTTATCTTGGGAAACTGCAGGATAATTATTTACAAATGCTTCTAAGAATAAATTCTGTAAAATGTTTACTTTGTATAAATGTTTCAATTACATTTTGATCAATGTTCTATAAACGAAACTTGCCATTAAACCCAAACTTGAATTGTTCATGAATGCAAGCTGAGCTTAACCTGTACATTAGTTATATAATGAAAATACACTAACTGTAGCAATACGTGGTACTATAGTAACATTTTGCAAAACATATTGTATGCATCAATATAAACATAGTTGAGAAAGTATACAGTCCTATGTCCACACTGGTGAGAGGATAAATGTAAATCATTAAGATGGTGTTCTACAGAAAAAAAGGGTTCTTATAATTCAGATAATTATCTAAGACACCTATACAAATGGAACAAATGAGGACTTCATTTGTAATCTTAATTCTTGCTTTTCAGAAATTTGGAGTGCTTACCTTTGCAATCGCTCCTTTCATTGCAGAATATATTTAATTATTCTTTGTACAAATGAAAATTACAAAATAAATAATAGGTAAAAGGATAAACCAATATATACTCTCAAACACAAAAGCAACCTTGTTCAGAGGACTATCAATAACAGTCAGTAAGAATCCATGCAGTCCTAAATGCTGAGGTACAATAAAGTAGCAAAAACTATGACTGAGAGACAAATCCTGGCTCTCCAACCCATTTAGCAACACAGACCCAATCAGTGGATATAAACTCTCTGGGGAAAAAAAAAAAAACAAAATCAAAAAACAACCTTCAAATACAGGGAAGCAAAACTTGTTGCTGCAGACTACTATTCTCAGCATCTTATATTTAGGCTCTTTGCTGAAGCATCTTGCTCCTGACTGACACAAGTGTCAAAGAAAGTAGCATCTAAATTAGACAGTTCAGGGCCCAGTCATGCTTCTTATGCCTGTTTTATTTTTGTCTCCAGTATTCAGAAAATAGAGTGACAGACTAAATCCCTTATGTGCACTGCTGCAATAACTTATTTGTTGTCAGCACTGAGTGGGATGGTTTTTCCACACTGACTTCACCTTTTCTTAAACTCTTTCTTGCCTCTTCTAACTCGAATTGGTACTGACACATGATAGTCCTGGGAATGATTAAAATACAGTAAAACATCTTTTCAGATACATTTGCAGAAAGGTGAAAAGGCCTACTTGGTGCAGCAGTAGACCAGTGAAAACAACAGAATGGTAGCCACATTACAAATCATGAAGAAAACTTAATACACCGGAGTAAAAATAGTTTACTCATCATAAAGTGAAACTGGTATTTTCTGACAAAGATACTTTCCCATATGTATGTGGATAATTTCTGTTCTATCATCTGACATTCCACTGAATGAATTCACCTATATTTACATTCCACTGAATGAATCCACTTGTATTACCACTATATCAAACTACTTTTTAAAAAAATACACTTTTGTATAGCACAGCTAAAATAAAAGCAGTTAATACTGATTGCAATATGTGTATGCAAATATTTCTTACTAATTTTAGGAACAGCAATGTTACTTAGCACCATATTTTAGTGGTTGTTTAAACTCGTGAGGTTTAGGAGGAGTTAGGAAAACAAAACAAAACAAAACAAAACAAAAACCACCTAGATTCCAAAGAATATCAACATGAGAGGAATCAGAAGATCCATACATTATCTTGGTGTGTGCACATACAATTATTTGAATTCCACTGGGCAATCCCAAAGAGGTTCAGAATCACAGAAGGAATAAAAATACACTGAATTGGAAAATAAAAATTCAGGCCAATATGGTTCCTGCAGGTGGAAAAGACAGCATTGCAAATATATGACCATACTGTGAAAACAAACTGCAGAATCATATGTGATGAATAGAATGAACTTAACATTTGGAAAAAAAAAAAACCAACAACCTATAGAGACTTCTGTACGAGGCTGCTCTTCTGCAGACAAAAGAATAAGTGAAAAGGCAGTTATTCCACAGTTTGGTCAGGTCAAAATGAGAGAGCTGAAAAGTAACAGGGTATCTGTACGCTATGCCGGAGAAGTGACACCCTGAGTTGAGTTGAAAGGGAAGCCAACTGGGTGGATTGAGATAAATGAAAAGTTCAAGCTCTGAGCAAAAAGACAGCAAAACATTTTATGAAGAGTGTCAAGGAGAAGTTAGGAGGAAGATTAAAAAATGAACACAGTATCTGGAAAGCAAATTGTCGTCTTCTAAAGATAAACAGATTAAGTCTTCCAGAATACAGTCTTCTTTTGGCATCTTAAACCAAAAAAAACCCAACCAAACAAACAAAAAAAACCTGCAATGTCCTTCATTATAGCTATTATTTCACATGTATTCTCAAGTACTTTTTACTAAGCAGAGCTCAGATGTGTCCAGATTTATTTTATTATTAGTGTAGAAATGGAAATAGAGGGATGAGAACACAAAACAAGTGTCAGTTAAATCTTCCTACAGATCCCCTGTTATGCTATGACCCTTTAATTTGTAGCTAAGGAGCAGAAAACAGAACTACAAAAGAACACTTTACATCTTATTAGGCTGCTCTATTCTTAATATTGCTTCAATTTTATAGAAAGCTCCACATACACACAGTATTCTACAACAAATGAAAGAAACTTCTAAATTACAAAGTACAGTATGAGGTGTGAGTTAATATAAATCTCTTCAATAATCATCTCCTATTAGCAGTTGTAGCATTAATATCCACCAGCAAATGCACATTTTCAGAAACTGTAATCAGATCTGCATCATCAAAGATTAAACCATTTCCTTTATTTGCATTTTGTTTTGTTTCATATAATGAGAAAATACTACTTTACAGAAGGTCACTGATGCTGTGAGACTAAGCAGCAAATAAGGGATCTTACTGCCCTCTTCCATTACTGTTAAGCCTTATATTCACAGTGTTCTCTTCACAGTATGTCTTTAGTTGAAAAAACCTGCCCCAATGATACACAGACTAATGGCTCTAAAAAAAAAAAAGTAATAAAAATTATTATTTCTTAATTGCATGTATATTGGCTTTAAATTTATCTCAGAACTGTCTAAGAGTTAGTTTTCTAAGACAGCTGTGAGTAACCCAAGCATCTAAATACCTTGACAAAAAACCAAAAGCATAAACAAAGCAGTTATGAAATTTCAGTCTACCATGACTTGGCTGCTTCTCAAAACTGAGGGCACACCTGACAACAGTGGAAGTAAAGCTAATCCACTCTTTAGGTACCTGACTATTAGTCTAGAAAATAACATCTCTCTCTTTAATGGGCATTTTACATTGTACCGAAGATTATATTCTCTGGGAACTCATAAAAAGTGAGGAAAAGGGATTAACCCCCTTCAAACCTTTCCCTTATTCTCCATCCTCTCTAAATAGTGCTGAAAGTTCAGCTTAAATGGACTGATTACTATGGTGGTTTCTCAGATAAAAAAAAGGGCAGGAGATGCTACACTGTCTTGAAAGTTGGCAGGAAAAAAAATCAAGAAATCCTCACTGAAGACAATCTGATAGTTTAAGACAGTGACTTTATAAGAATTCGTTACATTAGAAAGGTGCTTTGGAGGTCTGGGTAATACAGGACAAATACTGAACAAAGAACAAAATGGACAATAATATACATCATGTTAAAATGCACAATAATATACATCATGTTAAAATGCACAGAAAGGTCTGGCAGGTAAGGTCTGGGAATTACTGATAAAAAACATTTAAGTGTTTAATGGTAGGTATCTCAGAGTGAGAGCAAATGAGAAATTATCTCTTTTTAAATGACTCATATTTACCGAAGTTTGTTCTAGAACCTATCATAAAGGAACAAAATGAACACAGTCCCCAATCAACATAGACAAACAAGAATGAAGCACATAACCTATCAATTAAACACTGCCAAAATTCGAAGCATTAATAGAAACACTGTCACAGGTCAACATGGTGGACCACTTTTAGTCCTGCAAAAACAAATCACTCCTCTAACATTTCCTCCAAACATCATTTGGGATGTAAAAGTAAAAATTAAATTAAACACTGTTATTGCTTTTCAAAGTAAGATTTTAATCAATTTTTCTTGCTTCTGCCTAAAAGTTTATAAACATAAAAGATGGATTTTTATTATTTCATTCTAATTCCAAATTTTGACTGAAACTTGGCCTGCTAGAGAAAAACAAAAAGAACCCCATCCTCCCTATTTTTATAGCTTATTGTTGGAAAATAATTCCCTTTTCCAATCATTAAGAAGTCTGTTTCAATACTTGCTTTTTAAGCATTATGAAGTAATTCAGGATATGATACCAAAATCATAACTGAAGGCTGGGAACAAATCTCTTCAAAGTAATAGAGTGATACCTATTTGTAGGGAACAGTGCACCAAGCACAGGTTCACAATTGCAACATGTGAAGCTACAGAATATCCATCACGGTCAAAATGCACGTGATTGGTAAGCACAAACTTTTGCTTATGACTACGTGAATCACGTGTAAGTGATTATTCCTGTAGACTGATTACTCATTGTTTGCATGCTGTTTCTGGTGCTAACCTTGACCTGTGTAATACCTTCCAAAGGCTGCTTTGTAGCCTGCCCTTTTCCTGCAGGTCTGTGCCTGGTATCCCACCTGCCCTGAGCTGCTGTGACAGTCTCTTCCCTGTATCCAAAGTGCTCCTTCCTCCTGGCCCTCCTTATGTCCTCACTTTCCTCTTAGTCTGTACCATCTCTTCAACCCTCCCCTCTAGCTTTTAGTTTATTACTATAGTACTTGGTAAACAACACAGCAGATAATAGCCATTTACAAATTCAGTATACGTTTCCCCAATGATTTGCATGCATAAAGCTTAACATCCATTGTGCAACACCAGCACCTCATCACGTGTGCCCCAACCAACTTTAACAGTGCCATAAGCAGGAACCAACAAAGGGGAGCTTGAGTTGGTCCCCATTAAAATTACACAGCTATTATGAGCAATGTCATTGGGCAGTCACCTCCCACACTGAACAGGGTGCTTCACTGCATTTCCCAGCTCGCTACTGGGGAACAATTTTCCCTTGTCTTTCTCTCCCTCCTGTTCTTTCCTAAGGTAACTTCTAAGGCAATGTATGCCATCAGCTTCAAACTCCATCAATGAAGCTTTGTAAGACCGTCTTGACTTTCTTTGTGCAACAGCATGACTCAGTTTGAGGCTGCTACTCATAAAAAATTGACAGTATCTACTTCTCTGGAATACAGAACAAAATGCGAAGCTTCTAATTAGCTGATTATAGCTAGCAAGTCCTGCCCATAATAGGAATAAATTGATGTTAGGATAGCAATATTTGACAGAATGAAACGTGTGATATCCAGAAAAAGAAAAACTTACCAATTGCCCTAAACCAGGCTATAATATTGCTATAATATCTCAAAGGTTGTCCTTCTCCTAGTTTAAAAAAAAAAAATAAATCCGTAGAAAACTTAAGTATGAAGGAACTGACTCTTAATAAGGCATAATCTGTTATGACACACAGAGAAGAAAAAAGCCACTCACGTATAGCTTGCTATCTAATATGCTCTTTAAACATGCAAGCAAATACATTGGTCTAGGTGCTAGTAATGAGGCTGGTAAGACTTATAGGAAAGCTAATCATATACAACCAGTTGAGAAGATAGAAGTCAACAGGTAACTAAGAGCTTAAAATAGCATTTATTCATTTTGATTAAAACACAAGAAAAATATTGTGCTCTTTTGTTGCAGGAAGGCCTTTAATTTAGTCTAAGCACTTTTTCAACTGCAAACCTAAGGAGAAATGGATTTGAGGTCCAAGTAAAAGCTGTCTTCTTCAGTAACCTATTAAGTTTCCAGTCACTGCTTAAACTGTACATTTATCTTGCAACAATACACAAGAAAAGTGATCTTTTATACTGTAATATTGTACTTTAGTCAAAACACTAGATCAAAATCAGGTTTCCAAAAATATTCAAGATAGATCCAAAATCATTGATCTTACTTAAATTACAAAAATAGATTAAATTCCATATAAATACTTTGAGGCATCGTAATCTAACTAGGAACCTCAATCCCCCAAACCTGCATTGTATCTTGTATTGCATATTTTAGTATCCTATCCTTTTACAATTATGTTTCTTTTATACCAACTGTACACACGACTCAAAGTCATTTGCAAAGATCAGTTAAGATTTAGGGATCAGTGACATCAGAATAACTGCTGTTTATTCCCTCAGGTGATTCTTAAAAGCTCTACCAAAATTTTCTGAAGTGATTTGGAGCTATTAATCTTCTTTGGCTATACCTAGGAAAATCATTTAATATGCCAGTTTTAGCACATTGATAATACCAGAACTATCACAAAAAAGTTACATTAGGAAATGTGACAAAAACTATTTCAAAATAAGGCACTGGCTTTTCCTTTTTAGAAATCCTAAAACAGGTTCTGCGTTTAATTTCTCAAAGTTTTCTTAATTCTGTTAAATACGGTGCTCACTACCTTCTGTTTAACATGTCTAAATATCCAACGTTACACTTCCAATCTCTTTTAGTGTCTTGAAATAGACATGTAAGTCTGCTATTACACTGCTAAAATGTCTTTTTACTGGGTCTAGTCAGATAAAAGAACACAAAGACATTATCTGAAAATGCACATTTTTGAATTTAATTAATTGCTTTTGCCAACTCTATAGTTACTTTTTCAACCCAATCCTTTCTAAACATAGTATATCAGGAAAGGAAGGATATTTTTAGCTACTTTAATAATGGAAAAGATTTTTTTTTTTTTTCATAGAAAAATATAATGCATCTTGCAGAAAGAAAAGCCTGTTTTCTAAACTTGCCAGATTTCATGAAAGAACACTAAATTCCAGATCCAGATTCCAGCTGACAGAAAGCCAATAAATTCTGCATGATGGCTGTTAAAGAACTGATACATACACTGAAACTCATGAAAGTCCTAACAATTTGTCAATTATTCAGCTTTTTAAAGCTGTGCCTTGGAAAATAGGAAGATAGAAAATATGAAACATGATCAGATAATTAATCTCATTTTAAAATAATATGGAGTACTGGAACATAGCTTTCTATCTCTAGGATTCTATCTATCAATACAAATGCATTTATAACAGGTTAATCATTTGCTGTTCAAACAACCCTTAATTATATAACTTTAATGCCTACTAGTTTACTGCACTTTTGAGAGCTGAACATGAAGGTTCCTCATTTACCATGTAACAAAAGAAAGAATATAGTTTTCTCATTAGAACTTTTCTTTTTTTTTTTTTTTTTCTTTTTTTTAATTATTTTATAATCTGGCATTAGCAACCTAGCACAAAAGAAAACATATTATACTATATCTTCTTTTCTTTTTGTAGTATACAAGCCATTTTGTTACATTTCAAATAATATCAACAGGCTTCTCTACATTAAAAGCAGATATTCCTAAGCAAAACCCACTTAATTTGATTCACTGATATACTTACACTTCTGTATTTGACAATATATTCCAAAATGGGGGCTCCTCCATCATCTTGTTTAGTTATGCTAAGTTTAAAACTTTTGCCACTTCCTGGTTGTCCATGAATTGAAGGGGGGCTTGGCTCCCCTAAAAAAGGAAAAAAGCAGTAGATAATAATAATTCAGCAATAAGGTAAGTCATAAATTACAGTTGTAAATTTGTCCACAATATTATTAATCAATATCTTTAAAATCAAAATAATCCTCCCAAGCACTACAGAACATCCTTCATCAGCGCATTAAATATTTTGCTTAAAGTATGTTCTAATGCAGATTAATTATCTCACCCAAGGAAACAAAATTCTAAAGTATGAAAGAAGTATTCAGTTCTTTGAGACCTTCTGACTTCTGATGCTTTCAAATGTAATTTACTTCAGAAATTATTTAGCCATCAATTCAGTCAGACTTTTAAATGCTACTCACGCTGAAGTTTAAGAGTAACACTGTCTTACAGGAAAGCATTCTTAACATTAAGCATGAGATTTAGTCCCATGTGTGAGATCTGAATCGTAATACAGATATTAGGTAAACTAACTCTTCAATAAATGTGCCAAGGCAAAATTAGATACTTTCAGAGTAGTCTATATTAAGAATAAATGTGAAGAATAATATGACCAAAAGCAAAACTGATTTTCTCTGTAATGAATGGATAAAAATAACCTTAAATATAGAACAGAAGGGTTAATAGCCACTTTAAGCCTCTTTACTAATTGAAATTCACAGACTAATTATAATTTCTATACACAATGCCTATTACAAAGTTTTAAATCAGATCCTAAATTAATGTATGTTGTCATACTAAAGTGGCTTCAAAATATCTGTAAATTTGCCCAGAAAGATACAGTTCCTTTAGAAATATTTGTAATATTTATGTTCCTTGTTAAAGCAAAGATAAATTGACTTAGATCTCAACATAGAATTTGCTTAGCTTTCTAGCAGATAACATATATATAATTTCTATCCGTTTCCATCACTTTTCTATGAGGTATAATGTTCCATATGAATAATAGGAAATTATTTTATCTGTCATTAAATATATTTAGAATATGTGTATGCTTTAATAAAAAAGAAATTAGAAAGCTGGCAAGTTACTGGTTCTGAACAGAAGAAATGTAACAATAAGAACATAATAACACTGAAATATTTTGTGTTCTTTGTAGTCATGTGACTTTCATTGTTCACTCCATTACGGGCAGTACTCTTACCTATACTAACACCCTAATCAGAAAACAGTTCAGTTGCAACAGATTTATGAGAACCTACTCTAGTAATAGTTGCTGATGTATTCTGAGTACTATACAGTGTCGTCTGTAGTTCCTTTAATTTTCTTCTCCCTTGTGTTTATTTATTATTGTTTCTTTTTAAAGATAATTTGAGAAAAAATATTTTTCATGAGTCCTTAATATCTAAATCTGAATGTTCTGCCTATAAAGGTTATTAAAATGTAGAATCGGCTTCACAGCATTTATCATTTGCATGTAATCATAGTTAAAAGAATTTGTTATCATTTTTCAGCAGCTTAAGATTTCTGTTTGAGGCATGCTAATGGCAAAACGTGGCAGCATAGTTTGCTGAAGGAATGTCTCCAGAAAAAGCCAATTCATTTCTCTCATATGTCCATAATACCCTGAGTGTAAATGTGAAAAGGTCCTTCATCTAATATCTTTCATGGTTTGTGCTCTTGAATATAAAACAAAGATTTGTCTAAGTATCAAAAATACAATAATGGGATATATTCTCCAATTTAATTTCATTCATATTACTTGGGGGTGGTGGGGGAATAAGAGGAAGAAAACATGATTTCTAAGAAACAGTGTTAAGACTGATGTTATACACTGGGATGTCGGGTATCAATATAAAACATATTATCCACAGTATATTATTAGCTGATCTGGAGATAAAATATTCTAATAATCATTTATATTTAATAGCACGAGTATTACTCACGGACAGGTAAGGTCTGAAATATCTCGATTTTGCTATATTCTCCTTGCCCTTTTCCATTTACAGCAGCTACTTTGATTTCATATGTCGTATTTGGTTCCAAATTGCTGAGAACAACCATTGCTAAAGGAAATGAAAGAAAAAATATGGGAACAAAATTCGATGAAGCAATAATTTTTTAAAAAAGGCAATTTCATAATTGTTTGCTTCACTTGCAACTTATGAGTCCCGTTTTCTAATAATTCAGTGTTTCCAAACTTAGTTTTCTTGTTTAGTGCTAATAGTCTCTTCTTATTTCATCTGCATAAAATCACTGTTGTGACCAAGCAAGTTATGCCTCTAAAGGAATTTAACGTCAGTGTTACAGAAGCCACAGGCAACAATTAAGGACCTTGATGGGGAACGATGTTTTGTGTTCAGATTGTGAACACAGGAGACATGAATCTGGCAAAAAATTATGGAAGTTTCCTTGCTCCTAGCTGGCAATGAGCATCTGATGCACATTCAAGCCACCTTCATGCAGTTCATAACTTGCTATTTTTCCCTCATGGAGAGCAGTATCAACCATCCTTGGTCTACACTCCTAGATGCAGGCAGCTACATGCACATTAGTGGTGAATTACCGGTGCTATGCTTGGCCAGTTCAACGACGTAGTCAGGACCTAAAATGACAGATGGCTATGATGACAAAAGTAATTACTCTGAGTAATCTACTAAGGACCTGAAAGTGAATTAGGCATATCTGTACAAATTTAAGAGGAGGTGTACGGAAATGTGTATTAAATTACAACCAATAAAAATGTGATTTGTCAAGCAAATGGGTTTGAACTTAGGACACGCTTTCAGAAATCAAGACTGAATCCCAGCAGCAATCGTTCACACAGCCTGAGCCCATCTTTATGATTCTACCCAGAGATGCCATCAGAAACAGAAAACATGGGGAAAAGCTTGCCAAAAAGAATACTGTAGAGTGTTAAGTATATTGTTGCTGTAACGTACAGCAATAAATCTAAAAACAAAATCCAGGAAAAGGATTCAAGGATCCTTTACGGAATGCAGTATTATATATTACCACAGTACTTTATATTACTAATATCAGTGTTGAATATGCACTTGGAAACTTTGATCCCCACAGAGTTCTTGGACTATTACCCTCCTTTACAAGAAAGCTTCCTTTTATTGTCTCTACAGCAATCGTTTGCTTGCTGGTTGCCACCTCTGAGATGAGCTCTCCAGATGTCAGATTCATCTGGGGAATGGATGTAAACTGGATGGACTTTACCTGAAGCACATCAGTATTTGTCTTGCTCAGAAAAGCGGTTGCTGTATTATTTTACAGGAGAACATACAATTCTAATGTCCTGAAAAAGAGCCAGTATTCTTTCAGTCTCGAGGGAGCCTAGTTTTTTGCATTACAGAGCACCATTTTAACAGTTGCTTTAGGCTTGCTTTTCCAGTTATATATTTAATAATTATTTCTGTTAGTATTCTTTGTTATTCAAGTCTACATTTATTAGAATTTCTATTTTTTTAGTTTCTGCAGCAGACAGACAGAGGTCCCATTACATGTGGAGCTAAAGGGATTTAATGAACTTCTACATTTCACACTCTATTATAAGCATTTTGCATGAATTTGCCATTGAAACATGATAACTGTTTTCCTGTAAACAAATCAGTAGAATTGTGCGTCTTCCAGCATATTTTAGTTTTCTCGTTTCATGAGATTTAAAAATATCAAACTACAAAGTAAAACCATTACATGAAAAAATAAAGTGCCATCATGAGAATAAGAATAGAATTTGGAGAAGAGAAGGATTATGATATATAACATTCAGTTACGGTGAGATTAAATTTAAAACCTAAACTAAGCAACAGCAATATTTAACTTGCCTTTCAGCCATGATTACTTTCCAAGGCTGATTAATTTCACTGAAAATAAACCTTAGGGCACACTAAAAATTAGTGTTACTGTAAATGTTTTCAAAATTTAAACAACATAAAAGCATGACTATGAGTCTACACTTAATAAAACGTGAATGTGTTAACTACATAAAACCTATGAATCCAATTCTATAAACATTTGAGTGACTCCTGGGGCCTATTGAAATGAATAAAATTACTTATATATGCAGTATTTAAAGAATTAGTATCTCCTTTAGAATACCCTGCACAGCACTGTGTATCTAGATACAATGACTCTTACAAATACATTTATGTAATTAACCCAACTAAATCTGACAGCAAAATGTCCTCAAAACCTGGAACCACTTGGTACTAGTGACTGTATGATGTGAATATATTTTATATATAGGAAAAAATTATAACTATGTCCCCCTGGAAAATTAAGCAAAGAACCATTCTTGATCAAAATACTTCAAATATTCCAGTTGTAAAAAAAATAAAATAATTAAGTACGTTTAAGGAACTGTCCCATAGTATGTAACAAAAGTGCAGGGCTTAAAAGTAATCTAACAATTGTGAAGCTTTTACTGCTTGCTAAGTGTTTTACATTTTTGAAATACGTTGAGAAAGAAAGAAGATACTTTATAAACTAGTTAAATTTTTTCAAGGTACATATCTGTCATTTAAGTATAAAATCACCTTATTATTCTTTCCATATACAAATAAAAACTTTTCTTACAGGAGTCCATAGCTCATAGCCCTGGCCACAATGGATATTTTGACTACAAATTTCAATTATCACTGAAGCAATTAGCTGTAAAATTTCAACTCATATTCTGAAAGAAATATAGGCCTTTCAGTATAAGAATGTGAAACAACTGGTGAACTGTATACTGTAAGGTGTGAATTATGCCATTGGTATTCATATATATGCACATATCAAGTCCAAATATACAGAAAGTGAAATTATTTTATTTATTTCAGAATATGATTTGACATTTTTCAGGTTTTTTCTAACTGTCCAATCTATCTACTGCTGTTTTTATATTGTCTTTCTAATCACAGTATCTGCATGCTTTATCTGAAGAATTGTTTTGTAGACTAATTGATTTTGCTGGGATTATTCACATCTTGACTGGTTACAATAAAGAGACTTCAGAGAACTACTCTAAAGAGGAAAAAAAGAGAAGATTCTTCTGTGAACTCTGCAGGTATTTCTGATGTTAATTAACATGATGCACAACAGCCCAGACCTTGGTGTTTTCCACTTATAAGAAGTTAGACAGGGAGGCTGCAAGTCTTGTACCCTTGGAGGAGATCATGACACAAGAACTTACCAGTTATTTTGGTTTTGGTTTAATAAACTGCATAGAGAGTTTAAAACAAATTTATCAATATTTTTTTTTGACAGGGTATTCAAGGAAGATTTTTTAAAATTTTGTAGACCAGAATTTAAAAAGAAACACAACAACCAACAAAACCTAAACCTTACTGAATAGCAAAATTCAGTTTAACCTATTTTTTGGCAAGAATCCTAAAGATTAGCATTAAAATTAAAACAGTAAAAATAAATTATTTTTTTTTATTATACAAATTCTTATGATTTGCAAGCAAATCTACAGCATTAGAGAATGAACACAGAACAGAAAAAAATCCACAAAAAATATATATTAGACAAAAAAGCAGCAATCCATACTATTCTAAATACAGAGTATAAGCATTTCAGCTAGAGAAGTTTAATTTATTATTGCAGAATTTTAACTGCTGTCAAGATGAGCCACTGGAAAACAACATCTGACACAAGATTTGCTGTGAAATAAATTGTACTATGAATCCAAGTCAGTAAAAACAAAACAAAAATCCCCAGCCACTTTTCTGGTCCAGAGGCAGGTTGTTTGTATTACCTTATTACAGTAGAACGAGAAAGGAAGTGTCTGGCATATTAAATTGTCTTTTCACCAAAGGAAACCCACCTCAGAAATCTTCTAAGGAGTGTGATATATTACAGAAACCATCACCAAAGCAAGGAAGGTTAGGGGAACTAATAATACAGTTACACTACATTAATCCCAAAATAGATCTTGTATGAGGTTAATTAACAGACATACCACATCAATGCATTGTTCTCATTGGAGATATATCTGTTGCACAGAACAATGTTCTTCCAGTTCCAAATTCAATCCCTTGAGGATGTCATATCTAACTAAAGTAGGATATAAATTTATTTTGAAACAAAGTAGCTGAGACATATCCTTGCTGAAATATCACCTTCACTCATATATATGAGATAGTGGCAGCAGTGTGAAGTTTCTGTCAAAGTAGAATTACAAATTTTAGGATATTTTTTTTCCTATTTCTTTCCCTCTAGTCTGATTCTCTATTACTATTCAGACTGAATGCATATTGAATAAAGTGCAGGTTAGTAAGTGGAGTGCTTTGATTTAGCAGCATCTTGCTGCACCTTTTACTCATTATTTTACTAATCTCAAGGAAAAACTGAGTCCCCTGGAAATACTTGAATTCCTTTCAGAGGTAAAGACAAATAGCATTTTTATAAGGCTTAAACAGATTTCTCTTTGTGATGACTCATGTTCTTTTCAGGACAGAAGTAAAACACATGGGAAGAGAGCAGTGAGGAACCTATGGTATAATAGTAGGACATTTGAGAATGGTGAGGCCCCTATGGCAGCATAGCATTTAAGGTTCTGTACAAATGTCTCAGACTTTTGTAGATGTTGAGCAATCTGACGAACTTCTCCCAAAACCTCCGTCTTCCTGGGATAAGCAACACTGTTTTCTTTAATCTCTTTGCATAGTAGGAGGAATAGTATAAACCCTCTTTTTCTAGCTGAGCTTCACATAGTTAGCTCACAGAAGTGTTGACAAAATGAAGTTAGAAATTGCCATGGACAAAAAATAGAGGAGAAAAATAAAAAAAGGCTTTTGCTACACAAGATGTGAAATGTTTATTCATATGCAGAAACAGCCACACTGCCTCAGTTCCATCTGTCTGCCTTGCCCAAATAACAATTAATTTCATAAATACTGATTCAAGCATCTGGCTATAACTGTCAGAACTCAACTAACATGAATAAATTAACTTTAATAAAATATATCAAGTTGCACATTATGTGAAAAAAAATAATGATATGGAAAAAATAATGGTAATTGTTCTCCAGTGAAATCATTAGCATGACTCCCATTAATATATATGGAGACAA